AATGCTCATGTTTTTCTCAGCGTACGAACCTGTGCAGCTGGTGGATGGCAACGGGCACATGTAATCGACTCGAAATTTGGGTTTCAGTGATACCCTGTCAGAGGATTCTACTCCACCGTCGCTTGTGTCACCGCTTACATGACACCGTTGGTTGTACTCAGAAAATTTTGCATCCAGCGACCAGCGCTGAACCTGTTCAGTAACGACATTATCGGTAACTCTCAACGATTGTGCAAATAGCCCGTTGAAGTACTCGATACGAAACGCATAGGTTCGACAATCTCGAATATCCGAGAAAATTTGGGCCCAAAATTCTGCGGTACTATTTACACAAGGCTAAGCAAATTTATACAACAAACCTCATCGTTCGTAGCGTCAACAGATGCACAAGTCTGTCACCGACCAACACAGGTTAAGGTTGCACATCAAACAGCGTTGGGTGGAATGTTGTCTCAGTAGTGTGGCAGTGCGATCATGTGGAACTTATGAGAGGAAAAGTCGGGGCAGCCTCAGCAAACGGGACACGTACGCGCATGGGTAATTAGGTTAGCTGCACACATTCACACAGATTAATGCTGAGTGTCAGGATGACCTTTGTGGCTAGGTGAGTGTCGGGTACAGATGAACAGAACAAGTGGAGGTTAAAAGTACAAATGCGGAGTAAGGGGATGAATGGGAAAATAATCATGAGGTCATGTAAGATTCAATATAGCGAAAGTGCCACTGCTTTAGCAGCACACTAAACGCATGTCTGAGAGTATCCTTCCAAGTCTCGTGAATATTCGTCGATCGTTTGGGGTAAACTGAAATTAATTTCTCTGACCACGTGGTATTCTTGTTGTTGAAGTGAAGATGAGTGTTCAGCCGAGTCTCACTGTGTATCTAAATGGTTTCTTGTTAGCCTGAGTTTGCTTAATTGGATAAATGTTCAGCTAAAAAATTTTGATTTGGAAACTACTTCGTTGGTGTTACTTTCAACCTGCCTCGACAAATAAAATCCAGAAGACAAATGAGCACATGGCTTTGTCCCAGTGTGGCATTATGCTTGTACAATAATAATGAACCTTCAACTGTAAGTTTGCAAACGCGAATGCTCAAATGAAAACTTCATATGTATCCCTGTGGTGAATCAACCAGATGATCCAGAAAAGTACTTCCAGAACTGGTCGTTGTCACTAAAACATTCCCCAACGCTTAACTATACATGTGGTTATGCGCGTATAACATGGTTATACTGGCAAGAGGTTACGAAATATCACATGACAAATATAGGCAAGGCGTAAGGAGTTACTGTGTGATAACTTTTATATCGATGCTTATCCAACAACGAGCTACATGCCACCGTATTTAGGGTGAAAAATTTCGCGGTTCTGCGACTGTTAACCACGGAAAAACGACATTCAGCTGTGGTGCGCACAATGAGCTTTTGACCGTCAATCATCAAAACGGCGTTGCTTTACGCACAAAGATTGAATCCTTCACATACCGACATGTCTTGAGCCATCGATGACAACGTGCATAATTGGAATTTCAGGTTTACTTACGT